GCCCATCCTCTGTCTCTCTTTGCCAGGAGGATGTTTCCAACTATCCGGGTGTCGTTCTCGGGCGTGGATCCCGAGGCCAAGTACATCGTCCTGATGGACATCGTCCCGGTGGACAACAAGAGGTACCGCTACGCCTACCACCGGTCCTCCTGGCTGGTGGCCGGCAAGGCCGACCCGCCGCTGCCAGCCAGGTTGGTGTCTCTGGTTTGTGTGGATTTTAAGCAGGTCTGTTTTTAAAGCAGAGGGCTCTGGAGGGACAGCATTCCAAGCGCAGACACTCCAGGACTGACCCTGCAGAATATGGGGTAGGCTCTGAGAAAGGCGGAGTTTGTGCGGGGAGAAAACGTTGTCCTGAATTTTATCTCTCATCAACTTATTTCAAAGTTTTCCTTAAATTTCAATATGCATTAGTAATGTGGACCCACTTCATACATATGTATAAATATACACATCACTTCTAATTAGCTACTTGAAAGCAGACTGAATAAACCTGATGAAACGGTTGTCCTGAAGTCCTTTTTAAAAGAGTGCAATTTTGGAAAGTGTTTGCTTATGATCAATATTTAACCATGTCTCTATATCTGCCATAATAAACATCATTGTGGTAAAATTTGGTTGTTTCTGACCAGTAGAGAGCTCAAAGTTTTTAAATAAGTAAAGCAAACTCTTTTTTCCCCCTCTCCATAAGTTTAGTGGATGAATGTAATTCAACAACAGGTTAATTTTCTTTTATATGAAACATTACTCAATATATTAGGGATCCTTTATGTTTATTTTTGTTCTATTTATTGCTAATAATATTTTTTCCAGGAGTGTCCTGTTTTAAAAATCACATGAAAGCCTTTATTGTTGCTCCTTTGCCCAAAGGAACATTCTGGAGGAATAAAGAGCACGTTTGCTTATGTGAATAGTAATAGATGAAGTTACAGGAATCTCACTGCGTACTTAAATATAAAACAAAGAATATTAACGGATTTTACATTTTAAGTTCTAAAACCAAGCCTCACAGCTTTTAAGTTGTTATGACGATCTTTTTATTTTTATTTTTTGTAACTGATTGAAAATTCATATCAGAGCAAAGAATTTATTTAAATGTATAGTTTAGGAACTTTGAAGTTATGGCTGGTTCTTTGCAAGTGTCTAGTCTGGAGTTGCAGTCAAGACACAGAAGCAACACAGACAGTTTACACATACAGTTCAGATAGAATATTCAGTTTAATTGGTAGTTGATCACATTATTGATTGCATTATAGTATGCTAAGTACATTAGACAGGAGATTAAAAGCAGTATCTCAGAGTTTTTCATTCTCACAAGAGACTAATAAGGACATCTTCTGAACCCATCCAAGTCAGTATATTAAATAACAGTCATGACTAAGAAATTTTTTTAAATTACTGCTCGCTTTTGAACAAGATTCACCAGTTTACAGTAGATATTAAAATTAATAGAATTAGTGTTCTCTACTATTTAGTACTAAATGGCCAATTTACTATTCTTGAGATTCCTTCCAAACTTTTCAATATTGTTTTAGACCAGACAGAGAGACAGAGAAGTATTTTAGCAGATTCCTAACAATTTTTACAAGCAAATCCTCTCTCTCTCTTTTTTTCCCCTCAGTCTTTCCCATAAGTTAATCATTCTTATTTAACATACATTTTCTTCCTATCTGAAGGTATGGGGAGCTGGTGCTGGCCAGCAGGACTTTGGAAATATGACATGTCTTGTTTATGTTACTAATCTGTTCTGGTTGGGGAAGGAAAGCGTGTACCAGTACACTATCTCAACTGAAGCATGTGTAAGCTAGTGCTGGAATTTTAAGTCCCCTGGGTGGGATTTGAGAGAGGAAGGCCTTCCTGTATGTTTTCTTAATTCATCCTGGTTCAGTTTATTTATATTGATGCTAGATAAAAATGTTTAGTGCATTGTGGGATAGAAATATTCTAGATAATTTAGCAGCTATTCTTTATTATTATTATTAAAAGAAATAGTTTGCTGTACCTTCTGTCTTCATAAGGGAAAGGTGAGGAACTTGGGAGGTGATAATTTTTGTAGTGATGGTAGAAATTCCTTGTGGTTCTAGATCTTTGAAGAATTTTATTTCAGACTGAAGTTCATCGGTCAGTCATTTCTAATCAGGAGAAATAATTCTCGACAGTATCATTCGATCATGATAATGGGACAGGTATTATTCATGATCTAAAATATTGTGAAAAATTCATATAGGATTTTTTCCTTTAAATTAATTAATATTTAAATAAATTAATATTTTTGTTAATGTGGTTACATAGATAGGCAGTACTTAAAGAGGGAACATTTCATCAACTTCTAGTACTTTAAGTTATTCTGCACCTTTTTCGGGGTTAGGATGTGGTACTGAGCAGTAAAACAACTGCACCTATAAAGTTATAGCCTTGGAGGGATGACACTTGAAATTCTATTATGGTTGTTCTATCAAAGAATAATTCAACTGAAAGGCAACTAAGAGCACTCCTCCTACAAACAGTAAAACAAACAGGCCTGAAGTACTTCTATGGGTCTGGTAAGAATCTTTAGTGCTGTCAGCCTTTTTTTGTGCTTTGCTCCTGGTGGGCTTTGTGAGTTTCAGCGTGTGTACACAATTATTCTATTCTTAATCCTCTGTGTGACAAACCGGCCCAGGCTTCTTAATCTGTACATGAATATTGCTAGGAAAGGTTTTGTGACTCTTTCCCCACCTTGCTTTTGCCTCAACCAAAATATTTATGTTTGATTATAGTTATAAGAATCCTGCATAAAATGTAGATATCAATATCCTGTTACATGGATAAAGGAATTTGTCCTATTAAATCAGGAATTTCACTTTCCCTTATTAGCTTTCTAGTCTCTTTCTGACTTCAGAAAGAAGATGCTAGGTTTGGTATTTACAAAGATCCATACTTAGGGTGGTGGTCACAGGCAGAACAACAGGCCTGCATTTAACTGTGAGTGAGTAACAGATTGCTTTGCACAAAGCAGTTGATCAATACATGATAAATAAATTTTTTCCTGTCAAAGCTTTTGTTAGTTTAAGCAAAACTAAATACAAATATATAAATTGAATAATTTGGAGCCTATCCAGCTGGTCTTAACCCTCACTTAGCACATTAAGAGAAGATGATGAAAGTCGTAGTGTTTAAAGTCCCAGGAGGAGCGACAGACTCTCCTCTGCTCTGTGGACTGTTCAAAGTTCCTCATGTCACTGCATTAAAATTACTCATCTTGTACATGTAAAAAACACAAACTTAAACTGAGTCACTTTTAAATTTAAATAAATGGATTCTCTAAAATTGTTTTCTTTTAAATTCTTTCTTTTCATTCCTTTTTAGTGATGCACATAGTAGGAACTCAATATGCAATTAGTGTAACCTACAGCAATAAGATTTTGTATCTGCCAGAAGGCAGCCAGTAGCTGACTAGACAGATGGAAAAGAAACAATACAGCCGATGATGGAAAATGTATTAAATGTTACCCCTTTTAGATCATTGGTACATGAAGAAATGCATTACATGTTTTAGAGTTATTTTGGCATTGCTGTCTTAATAAACTTAGGGTATACGGGCAAATAAGATTTGCCACTTATATGAGGTTTATGTTCCCTTTAGAATCACGGGGCCGGCCCGGTGGCGCACTGGATAGTGCACCGCTTGGGAAGCGTGGCGGTGCTCCCGGGCAAATAAGATTTGCCACTTATATGAGGTTTATGTTCCCTTTAGAATCACGGGGCTGGCCCGGTGGCGCACTGGATAGTGCACCGCTTGGGAGCGCAGTGGCGCTCCCGTCCGAGGGTTCGGATCCCACATACGGACCGGTTCCCGCTCACTGGCTGAGCGAGGCGCGGGAGCAGCGCCGAGGGTTGCAATCCCATTGCCGGTCCCCGGTCCGGTACGGGGGCAACACTGAGGGTTGCGATCCGTTGCCAGACACGGAAAAAGACAAAAGACAAAAAAAAAAAAAAAAAAAAAAAAAAAAAAAAAAAAAAA